GTGTTTATAACGATAAATGTTGTTGGCTGCAGTCTGTTGAAGGAATGAAGGTTGTGTGCCATGAATTGGCACAGGCGACCACGGATCCTGAAAGCAGTGGAATGGATGATCTTGTGAAAGATGCTGATAGACTTGTTTCATGCCTGGCAAATAAGGCAATTGCTACATTAATTCCTTATTGTGAAAGGCCATTTGTGTGGTGTTTACATGGAAATGCTTGTAAATGCTCATAGCAAGGTTTTATTTCAGGTAGCCAAGACATTTGACTTTAGTCTGACTGGCGCCTCTTCAAGGTCTTGTAAATATGTTCTCAACACTCTCATGCAGGTACATCCATCCTCTTTCCATCGATTCCTTCCCCATAATTTTCATTATGGATACGTTGATAGAGAAACTCAGACTGACACATAAAGTGGAACATATTAAAGAGTGATCACTAAAAATGTGAAATTCATTTTGTCTCCCTCAGTTCTCAGATCAACCCACATACTTAGGGTTGCTGAAGTTTTGACCTGTCTTCTGCAGACATTTCAGAACAAGAGACTCGCACATGCTGTCAAAGAGAGTACTCTTGATGGTCTAATTACGGAGCTGTTGCTTTGGCTTTTGGATGAAAGGGTTCCTCGGATGGATGATGGCACTCAACTTTTGAGAGCTCTAAATGTTTTGATGCTCAAAATTCTGGTATATTTGTCTCCTGAAGTGCACGTCTTTGTGTCTCTGCGTGCGCAAACATTTGCTTAATTTTCAAGATAATAATGTTTTGCCCCTTTGGCCAACTAATCCTGAGTTCAGGATAATGCCGACCGGACCTCATCATTTGTCGTGCTCATAAATCTTCTAAGTCCTGTTGACCCGTCAAGGTGGCCATCTCCAGCAGTGAACGAGTCCCTAACCTTGAGAAATCAGAAATTTTCGGATTTGGTGGTCAAATGTTTGATCAAACTTACTAAGGTGATACTCTTTTCCTTTCCTCGTGAGACTTGGTGGCTGCTGCCATCTCTCGCACATTTCACATCTTTCAGAAATGGGTTGCTTCTTTCTTTTGAAGCAATATTGTTGATTACTAAAACTTGCACATGTTAGGTTCTCCAAAATACCATATATGATGTTGATCTTGATCGTATCCTTCAAAGTATCCATATATACCTACAAGAGTTAGGAATGGAAGAAATACGAAGGAGGTACCTTTCAAACCTTTAAAAATTAACGAAAGGAGTCTGTTCCTTGTTTAATGAGATACCTGTTGAGTGCTGTTCTGATTAATTTCACAATGTTTACTTATTAAATGTTTTAACTGGTCACTGTCAACATCTTTTGAATTAACAAGAGCGGGAGCTGATGACAAACCACTTCGCATGGTGAAAACTGTTCTGCACGAGCTTGTTAAGCTTCGTGGAACTGCCATAAAGGGTCATCTTTCCATGGTCCCTATAGACATGCAACCGCAGCCTATTATTCTTGCCTACATTGATCTTAATCTTCAGGTACTTGTGGCAAACTCTTGATAATACGCTAGGTTCCCGAGTCGCTCATCCTGATCATCTTGAAACAAAATTGAGCAGACCTTGGCAGCTGCAAGAATGTTGACCCCTTCTGGACCTGCTGGACAAACTCACTGGGGTGATTCAGCAGCCAATGGTCCAGCACCTGCAACTCATTCTGCAGATGCTCAATTAAAGGTATTTTTGCGCTCTATTACTTGAATGGTTGATTTGTCATATCTAATTTGGTTTCTTTTGTCCATGTTCTGTCCTTCTGTTAGCCATGCTTTCTCAAATAAATTTTGTGGTGATGTTTGGATCATACAGCAAGAATTAGCAGCAATATTTAAGAAAATTGGTGACAAGCAAACTTGCACAATTGGTCTCTATGAACTCTATCGAATTACACAGTTATATCCTCAGGTAAGTTCCATATATAACATCCATCCATTATAAGATTGAACATGCACATTTATCAAATTTTATTGACGGAATCTGGTTTCAGGTTGATATATTTGCTCAATTGCAAAATGCTAGCGAGGCATTTAGAACATACATTAGAGATGGTTTAGCACAGGTCTAGATCTAATTTTGTGTGTTCGTAGTTAAAGATACGAAGGAAACACTTTCTCGAGTAGTTAATATTAACTTCTATTACAGATGGAGAAAAATGCAGCTGCAGGAAGAACACCTTCAAGTGTACCTCTGTCAACTCCTCCACCAGTGGCACTTGACCTTTCTCCAAAATACGGCCCTGTCTCACCTGTAAATACAAATGATTCAAGAAATCTGAATGCTAAAGTTGAACCTACAAACTTCAGTTTGCCACCATCTTATGCTGAAGAAGATAGGGCTACCAATACCATCTCTGCAAGAGGTCCTTTTTCGGATGGTTTACAACAGAATTTGGGGGAACAAAGAAGTGACAGGTTATTATCTGGAGGTTAGTTAACCTGCAAATTGTTACTTGTTAGTTACTGCATGTTTCATGTGCATTATTGACGGGACTTAAAAGTCTAGTGGACAAGATTTTAACCACTTTTTCTTCCTTCATATTGACCATTGCTTTCCAATCCTCCCTACGAAGCATGCGTTTTTTTGTCTTTGTTGCTTGTGTTTCTGTGGGGAATATTTAACCGACGGATTCACTTCAACTGCAGTTTCAAGCGGTACATTAGATGCTATTAGGGAAAGGATGAAGAGCATCCAATTAGCAGCAGCTGCAGTAAACCCAGATACTAAAAGTAGGCCATTGGTACCTATGAATGGGAATGTAAACCACGGACTTCCTGGTCATCTCTCTGTCACTGAAGGTGTTGGTACCGAGAATCCTATGCATGGTGGGGTCCTTCCCATGGACGAGAAGGCTCTATCTGGCCTTCAGGCTCGTATGGAAAGGTTAAAAACTGGGTCACTCGACCCTCTGTAGGATGGAATAAGAGTCGGGGTGTGATTCTTTATGCATCCTGGTAAATTATGCCATATGATGCTAATCTTGTAATTTGGGAGATAAAACGGGGTTTATGCATTTTGAGCATTTGTCCCTCCTGGTTATTCGCACAACCTTGCATTTTTTTTTGGCTGATAGCAAATGCAGAACTTTGTTTCCTGTAATGTTGCTGCAGAGTTTGTGAGCTTAGTGATATAGGCAATGTGTGGTAAACCTATATTATGTTCATCCATATTTCTTGTATATTATAGTCATAACTTTGAGCTGTTTGGCGGTCGCCATGATTTGATCTCATGCAAAAGCTGTTAAATTTTTCAGTTCATAGTAACAATTCCGAATTTTTTTTCTTCGACATGCTAAATTTATTGTCATGTTGTATTTTCACCTGGCCATTTATATCCTTCTCGGGTCTTCGACCCTGCAGTTACTTGATCAGATATTCCATAAAGCTCAAGGGGGAATTTCTCCACCGTGTAACCTTCCAATATTTGTGCCCAAAATAAACTTACATTTTACGTCGCTACTTGTGTAACAGAGTGAAGGATTTTAGGGGTGAGTCTAAAAGTGGCAACATCTTCATTAAAAACATGATTTGTTACTTTTGCAGGTTTAAGGAAGAAGCGATTTTATTTATTTTTATATCGGGTGTGTGTGTGTGTGT